CGGGTCCGAGACGAGCCGAGCCAAACGGCGCGCCGCGCCGGGCAGCGCCTCCCTCCTTGGCGAGGAGCGCGCGGTGCAGCGGCGGCTCCGAGTCCCCCGGCCTCCAGCGGGCAGCCCGCACGCGACACTCCGCCAGCCGCTCGGGCACCCGGCGCGCCTCTCAGCCCCACGGCTGGCGGGGCTCTCCAGGGGGGCGATGCCAGTGACGGCAGCGGCGGGGTTCCCTGCGCCCCAGTTCCCAGCGGCGAGCGGGGGTTGGCTCTGCGCCCAGGTGCCCGGTCCTGCAGGGCTGCGCCGCCCCGTGCGCCCCTGCCCACCCGCAGCCGCCGGGGGGAAAGTTTGCGCTCCCGGCCGCCTGCTCTCCAGCTCCCCTCGCGGACCCTGCAGGGTCCGCGGCTCCCGCGCCCCCGAGGACAGGGGCGCGAGCTGAACGGGCATCGCCACCTCGCCCGCAATCCTCACCCCGCGAGCCTGGGGCTTACCCTGCGCGCCGACCCCCGGGACGCGAGCCGTCGGCTACGGCGCGTCCTCGTCCTCTTCTGGCCGCTGGCTGTCTCTTGGCCGGCAGGAGCGGAAGACCGGTGCGGCGTCACCGCCCCGTGCTGCCCGCGCGAACTTGCCCGGGGCTCCCGCGCTCCCGCCGTCCCCCCCTGCGGCTCCTCTCCGCGCCCCGGGCCGCGCGCTGCAGAGGCCCCCGCGCCCTCGCGCGCGCGTCCTCACCTCTCCAAGTGGCACCCCGCGCGGTGGGTCCGCGGCGCCGCCGAGGAACCTTCCTCCGCTGCGGAGGCGCCGCCAGAGGACGCCAGACCCTCACCAAAGGCGCGCGCGGGCCGCGGGGCTCAGGGGCGGGCGCAGGGCCCCGCGGGGCCTGCTTTGGGGTCGGGATCCTCTGCCCACGGAAGTTTCCTTCGCTTGGCTTTGCTTTCCCGACCGCTGTCGTCGTCTGTGGGGCTTTATTGCTGGCACAGGGGTTTCTATTTTTTTTTTAAAAATATATATATTTACAGTGTTACTTCTCCACAAGTGAGCTGCAACAGTGCATTCGCGCCAGGTGTCCGACCACAGGGATGCCACGTTTATGTAACTGGAGACGCGACCGCCCTGATGGGTACGCGGGGCACGTCTGCGAGACACAAAGTTATTACGCGCGCGATGCCCGCGCGTCTCCATCCCCGCGCGACTGGTTTCCTAACGGGGCGTCTGTTATGGAAAATCAATATGTTATGTGACTCCCTTTACCTTTTTCACCCAGTTTCCCCCCAAAACCGCCCCTCCCATCTGCCAACCATCAAAACGTCCTCTGTATCTCTGAGGTGTTTGGGTTTTTTTTTTCTGTTTTGTTGGTTCATTTATTTGGGGGTGGGTTTTTTTTTTTTTTGGATTCCACACGTAAGTGAAATCCCCTAGTGTCTGCCTGTCTCTCTCTGGCTCATTTCTCTCCACGTAAACCCCTGAGCTCCCCCTGCGCTGTCCCCAAAATGGAAAGATTTCATTCTTTTTTTTTTTCTTTTTTAATGGCCCAGTAGTATTCCGTGGTGTCTCTGCACTCCGTCTTCTGCCAAGCGGCCTCCACACCTCGGCTGTTTGTACATAAAGCTGCGAGGACACAGGAAGGTGTATGTCCTTCTGAGAATGAACGTGTTTCCTCAAATCAACACCTGGAACTGCCGTGTCTGTGTCCGTCTCTGGCTCCTGGGACAGCCTTTGTTGGACAGTCTGTTTTGTCCGGCATTAAGTATTGCTACCCCAGCTTTTTTTTTTTCTCTTTCCCCATTTGCATAAAATGCCTTTTTCCATCCCTTTACTTCGAGTCTGTGTGTCTCTCCAACTGTAGGCAGACGGCTTGTGTCTGGGTCTTGTTTTCTTATCCATTCACCACCCCCTCCCACCCCCTGGTGTCTTTGGATCGGGGCATTGGACCCCTTTACATGTTTAAATTGGTTATTGCTGGGTGTGTAGGTGTTTTGATCACCTTTTTCCTTACAGAAGCTGTTTTACCTCTCCTGTCATGGCTTTTTCTCGTCTGTCCTGTTCCGGATGACAGCCTGGCTGGGTAGAGGGGGCTTGGTGGTGGGTCCTTGCTTTCCGTCACTCCCTTCTTCAGCTGACAAACCTGGGGGGGGCCTTTGGCGTTTTGATTAGGACATGTACTGGGGGAAGGGGGGCTTGGGTTCCCCTGTTTGGGGCTCCCTGTTCGGCTTCCTGGGCTTGGGTGCCTTTTTCTTTCACCAGGTGAGGGAAGTTTTCACTCATTTTTTTTTTCCAAATGGGTTCTCAATCCCTTGCTCTCTCTCTCTTCATTCTTCGACCCCTGTGCTGTGAATGCTGTTATGTCTGTGGTGGTCCCAGAGGCCCCTTAAATGATCCTCATATATATTTTTTGGATTTTTTTCTCCCTTTTTGCGGTTCTGATTGGGCGTGTTCTGCTACCTCTGGTGGCCTCTGACTCACTCCTCTGCGTCATCTCACCTACTGTCGATTCCTCCCCGAGCCCCCTCTTCCCCTACGTTCACGGAGCCTCCCGACGACCACTGTTCTGAACTCTGGCCCCTGATGAATCATGGGTCTCCATCTTGTTGGGTCCTTGTTCCCCTGGGCGCTTGTGCCCCCTCCTTTTAGCTGCCTCCCCGTGTGGTGCCTATGGCGTAGGTCCTGGTGGAGGGGCCTCACATAGGAGGCGTCCTGTGGGGCCCGGGGGGGCAGTCTCCCTGGTTCCCTGAGCGTATGAAGTGCCCCCCTCTAATAACCATAGGGCCCCCTTTTTTAGGGGCAGAGATAGAAAAGGGGGGGCCATGGGGGCCCCTCCCTCACCTGGCCTGGTCCTCGCTGCATCCTCCACAGCGCCCCCCCCCCCCATGTCTGCATCGCCTCTGCTCTTCAGAAAAAAACCAACACCTCAGGCTCCAGTGAATCTGCAATTCATTTGCGACGGGAGGGAAACGCAGAGCCCAAGTGGATTAGGTTAGGATTCAACGCGTACTTAATTGCAGCGTTCATGGAAGGGGCTCCTAAAGGGCCATTTCTTTCTTTCTTTTTTTTTTCCTAATGTATTTTTACCGACGTCAGAGAGGAAGGGAGAGGGGGAGAGGGGGAGAAAAAGAGAAACGTCATTGGTGAGAGAAAATCGTGGATCAGCTGCCTCCTGCAGCCCCCCCCCGCCCCCGCACTGCGGATGGAGCCCCCAATCCCAGCATGTGCCCCCCTGGGAATCCAACCGTGACCTCCTGGTGCAGAGGTCGACGCTCTAACCACTGGCTGGGAAAAAAGGGCCGTTTCTGGATCAGAAAACACCCGTCAACAACAAGTGGCGGTGGTGGGGTCAGCTGCTCGGGGAGCCCGCCCTCGGGGGCCCAGGCACCCTCGGGGGGCTTTCGGCTTGGGGTTACGTCTGTCTTTGGCTCGGGGGTGCAGCTCCTCATGGGTGAGCATACACCTCGGGGTCTCTGGGCAGAAGCAGGGCCCTTTTCCAGCCGCATAAACAAGATGGCCGGGTAGCTCAGTTGGGCAGAGCGTCATCCCCCTACGTCAAGGCTGCGGCGTACATCTCCAGTCTGGGCACGTACAAGAGGCAGCCAGTGAATGCATAATCGGGGGGGGGGGACCATCAGCCTCTCTCTCTCTCTCTCTCTCTCAGATAATAATAATAATAAAACCTAAGCAACCTGTTGGGGCTTTTGCAAATTCCAAACATCCTGAGATTTTTTTTTTTTTTCCCAACAGTGAGACATGGGGAATACATTTCAGGAACAGGGCACAACATACAAACATTGCAAATCTACAGCAGTGCTATTCTGAATACACCTCTAGGCACAGTATTCAATAACTCTGAACCGTGGGGCTTATCGGATTCTAGAAAAAA